GGCCGGATGGGGGCTGAGACCCAGGAGAGGGTTCCTAGGCTGGATTTGTCTCTACTGTCTCTCCAGCATTTAGAAGGCAAGCGGCTTCCCAGTTCTGTCGCCCAGAGACGAAAGAGAATGAAGCATGCTGTTGAAATACTGTTGAGGCCCTTCTTTGTCTTTCCATAAACGTCTATTTAGCACCTACTATGTGCCTCCTTACAGTGACTGAAAAAGGTGCTTGCCCGTGTGGAGATGATTTGCTGGCTCCTGGGACAGAGCTCCAGTTCTTTGGCTGCTGGAGTGCTGGCTCTTGCTGGGCTCTGCAGTTCTCCAGCCTCTCTGAAACAGCTGCCCCCAGGGGCCCAGGAGACAGGGCCCTTACTTGGAGGCCTCTTCCAGACAATTCTTGCTTTTGTGTTTGATAAATTTCTGCTTAGCCTCCAAAGCTGCAGGCAAATCTCCCCTCCTCTCTGCCGCCTTCTCTGCCACTACCTCTCCTCCCGCAGTCATTTGCTTGAGCCCTGATGGCACTGTGAATGTACTGTCACCACAACACCTTCCCAGATGCAATGGCAAGGCCTGCAATTTCCTGGATGAAGGAGCCCTCATCTCCCAGCAATGCTTGCAGAATTGACATAAAAATGAAAAACCTTGATAAAAATCCATTGTTGATGGATTGCCGTCCTAGCTTCTCGATGGGAAATTAAATAGGTACAATCTTGTTGGAGGCTAATTTGACAATATTAACATTGATAATACACCTATCTTTCAATCTAGCAATCCCTTTCCTTGCTTTGAAGAGAAATGCTTGCACATGTGTTAAAAGGAACACATATAAAAGCTGTTGGTTGCAGCATCATTTGCAACAGGGAAGCTTAGGAATGCCTTAAATGCCCCTCAGTATAAGACTTGCTTTTTTAAAAAGAGAAGAAGAAAAAGAAAAATGACAGCGCATCCATTGGGCAGAATGCTACACATGCAGGTATATTGACACCGAGGTTACTGAGTAAAATAATCTAGCTGAGGCTGGAGACATAGATGTTACAAACAACATTGTTGCATATTTTACTCCAGGAAACTGGTCTTGCGCATCTATCTTGTATATTTCACCTTAAAATGAAGAGAGGGAAAGAGAGCTAGAGTGGCCACAGCAGTTCCTGCCCAACCGGAGCCTAGGCTTCATCACAGTCCAGCATCAGCATCATTTTGTCAGCTTTTTACAATCAGAGGGTGCTGCTCACTTCCTCAGCAGCTAGAAATCGGCTCCCTAGCTGGGAGAGCATCCAGGCAAAGAAGGGGAAATCAAGAAGGCCAGTGGGTTCGGGGAGCCAGATCGCCCCGTTTCTTGGATTAGCCTTTGGATGTTAGGAGGAAGGAATGAGGCTTGATTCTGGAATGAATGCTAACAAGGGGGAGGAAGGTATTGGGGCATGCAGGGGAGGTCTGAAGGTTCAGAGATATTGAACAGTAAGCAAGTCTCTGGGTTTGCCCCGTTTTTTTTTTTTCACTTCATTCATTCATTCTCCTACTCACTTATTCATTTATTCCATAATTACAATTGAATCCCTCCTGCCATGAGTATTATGTTGGCTACTGGGAACACAGGAACAGCCTCCAGGAGCTCCAGGTCATTTCGTGTTGTTTCACCAAGTGTGTTTCAATAATCTGTGTGGTTCAACAATCTGGGTTTTTAGCACATTTTCTCAAGTGAAAATAATTTGGACTGACTGATAAACCACACTTGACCTCCCCCATATTGTTTCCTGAGACCTCTCCTGAAGTTGAGGTCACCCTGATCCACCTGGCAGAAGTGGGGGCGGGTAAGAGAGGCCTGAGCCTTGCTGTCTGACACCGTGGTATGTGGCTTTCCTAGAATGCTGTGGATCTCTTCTGACCCCCACCCCCAGCTACAATCCAAGTCCTCCTGAGGCCTGGGAAGATCCACATCCTACCTTTTCTAAGTCCTTCAGAGGCAAGCAGCCAAGTCATTCTGGGTAGAGGGTGCTGTCATATGCAAAGACCCATGGCAGAAAACATCTTAGTCGGTGGAGGAACTTAAAGGAACTGCCATGCCTGGAGCATTAGTGGAGGAAATAAGTACAATTAGAGTCTGGTGGGAGAAGTCACATGCAGCTCGAGAGAGTAGAGCAGTGGAGATTGAATGACCAGTTTCACAGATTAGGACTAGCTTAACTAGCTCTGTTGCCCATGGAAAAGCAAAAGTCAATCGGCCCACAGCCCAAAGCTCTGTTGTCTTTTAAGCCGTGGATGAGGGTGGCTTGGACGAGGGGAGGTGCCAGATGGAGAACTAGAGGGCTGGCACCTGAGGTGGAGGGAGACAGCTATTCTGGTCAGGCTAGGAGAGGTGAAAGGCAGGATGTGGTTTCAGATTCTGTAATGGTGGCCTTGGGTCATGCTCAGGTGTGGTGAGAAGGGAGTGGCACTGGTGGGCCTTCACCCAGCTGTGGCTTTGAGCAGCGTCAGCCCCTTCTCATGACCACAAGCCACATCCCCCTTCTTTTCACCCCTTTCTTCTTTCTCCCCCGCCTTAGCTTTCTCTGCCCCCTCCTTCTCTTCTCCTCCCCGCCTTTCCTTCTATCTTCCAAGCCTCTCCCTTCTTATTCTCCCTCTCCTTTTTCTCTCAGATATTTAAGAGATTAATTGGTACTAAAGGTCAAACTCAGGACACAGGCAGGACCATCAAAGCCAAGGCTGAGATTCAGAGCCAACATCAGTGGTCCAGAGGCCAAGGGTAAGGGACAGAGTGGGAAGGCTGCAAACCTTCCCTTTGCTTACAGTTTGCCTTGGTTTCTTGCTGTCCCCACACAATCAGGGAAGAGAAGGAACCCAGGGATTCTTGTGGCATCCACAAAAAGGCAGCCAAACATTTCCCTTAGACTTGGGAAGAGGCTCAGCAGCGACAAGAGCAGCCACTGGTCTCTCAGAGAGGTGGAGATCTCCAAGAGACAGCATCTGGAGAAGACCTGTACAGGCACCTAGATCCCTGGGGGTGCTGCCCACTCAGGGTAGAGGACCCCATCCCCCACTGCACAGGATTCTGAAGAAGTTCTGGTTTATTACCTCTGTGTAAATTGAAATGGATCACTTAACCTCTGAGAGCCTCCCTCTGTCTTTGGGTGAGCTAGTGATGACCTTGCCCTCTGCAGGGACCTCTGTGGGTGGGATGATCCAGGAATAGGAAACTCTTAGGACTCTGATGTGTATCCCCAGCTACCCGCCTGCCAATCTGTGCAAAGCAGAATTGTACTAATAGCTGCTGCCCATGAGAGATGTGAAAATCAGAATCCAACAGCAAAGTGGCATTTCAAATTCCAGTGTGGGCGGAAGTGAATGTTACGAGAAACATCTCTTTCAGGCCATACTGCCCAGTGGGTTATGGAATGTGAGCCTGGTATGTATCCTAAAATTTTCTCTCAGACACACTAAAATAAAGTGAAAGGAAATTGACATTTCTGTTGTAGTGCAGATCCCCGCCCCTCTGCTGTGCGCGGTAGGGGTTCTCCATCTTCGATGGGCAGATATTATAACTATGGTTGCTACAGGGCCTGAGTACCAGGACATAGCATAGTACAAAACCTTTTTGGAAGTGCTGGTTTGGATTCTGATGGCGGTTGTACGAGGCCGGACTAAGTGGAAGTGGTAGCTACTGTCCTGAGGGAGGAAGAGGTAGGGCAGAACGACCTCAATGCCCTTGCCCCCTCGCTTCTTGGAAGCCACAGACTTCCGGAGATTTGCAGGGAGCGTTGGCAACAAGAAGTCTTCCCTTGGGGTATTGTGAAGGTAACTTCAGGGCTTCTTGTAAGAGAAGTGTGGAGAGAAAACATCCGAAGGCAGGCTTCTGTAGGTTTTCTTTCCAAACGCTAGTCCCTCCCCAGTAGAACTCAGGTCCCGGGGCCCTCGAATCCACGGGCTTCTGCTTGGCAACCTCCGATAGTAGCAGGGCCGCTGCTATCTAGGTGGGCTGAGAGGCTGAGAGTCTCCAACCACTACACATAAAGAAAGAGCTGCGGTTCACCACTCAGTACACACACTGCACACACACGCACACTTCTCCCGTGTGCCATAAATCTCACTCTTATACTCGCAGATCCGCCTACTCGTTCACTAAGCACCTGCAGCCCTCCGGGAAACCTGGATGAACCGCACACCTCCCCGCTGAACGCAGGTGCCAGGGCGTCGCCCAAGTCTGGAAGCACCGGCTGGAAGGCACGCCACTGGGTATCTATCAGGTTACCCTGATGGCGTGGCAGAGATGCCACGAGGGCAGCGCCGAGGAGAGAACGTCCTGTTCCGCCTGCCTCTCGCTCTTCAATGCCTTGGAGAGTAATTTCTTCCCCTAGGACAGGAGTGCCTCGAGGCCCTGTGCCTAGGACCCCTCAGACTCCCTGTATCACTTGCGGTGCAGTTAAAGAATTCCAAGATGATGCAGCCGGATTCGCTTTAGAGTAAAACAATCTCAAAGACGAATTGAGGCGCTAGAAAGAAACTGTTCAGTACAGGGACTCTAGCCGCTGGCAATGCCGGCTTTCCTTAGGCTCACAGGAGGCTGCCTGGGCCTCCTGCCTCTTTCCCCTTGCTTCCCCGACTCTCTCCACTTCCAACATTCCATCAAACTCTCAGTTAAAATGCTGTCACAGCCCCCTCTCTATCTCCCCTGTCTTTCAGGGTTGGGGAGCCGTCCTTTGTCCCGTGCTGCAGTGATACCCAGGACCGGGAAGAATCGGCATATGGATATCCAGACTGCGGTGACAGTCTGGAGAGAAAGGTCATTAGCCCAGCAGTTCCAGTTCCAAGATCCTGCAGCAGAGCACATCAGGAATTAGAATAGAGGCTGGACTATGAAATGGAATAGGCTGTGAGCAAAGGCCTTCGCTTGGGGCAACCTTCCTGTCCTACCCTTTCACCCTCAGGATCTCTCTCTCTCTCTCTCTCTCTCTCTCTCTCTCTCTCTCTCTCTCTCTCTCTCTCTCTCTCTCTCTCTCTCTCTCTCTCTCTCTCTCTCTCTGGAAGGAGGGGCTACCCCGGGACACAAGCAAAGAAACGGGTTGGGGGAGGGGGAGTGAACGTAGGAGCCGCGGAGATATCTCCGCTAAAGCCCAGAGGAACAGAGTGGCTGCAACAGAGATAGTCTGGGGACAAAGAGGAGCAAAACTGTCAGGACAAAGGCCGAGTAATCCAAACCCTGGGAGGGCAGCGCTTCTACTACGGTTCTGTGGCCGCAAGAGTCTTCTCCAAGGGCCACCTTCTTGAGAAGTGGGTTTCCGTCCTCGGTGGTGACCGAGACACTCGGGGAAGCAAGCCCAGCTCTGCTGTCCTCCGAGGTGCTCCCGGGAGGGTGTACAGTGAGGCGCGCACTCGGGAAGCGCTGGGTCTGATAACTCAGAGGGAGGGAGCTAACGCTGGAGCCCCGTGGGTGTTAAGACAGTCGAGGGATAATGGTCGAGGCTGGAACCGCGATTTACAGAGACCTGGAACCCTTAAAGCCGAAATGGCCTCAAAACGTCCCATTGCCGAGCTGAGGTCCCAGCGTGCGCTCTCCTCGTGCGACCGCAGCTGGGACTCTTACAAGGCGAGCGGGTATCCCTAGAGCCCATCTTCATCTGCGGGAGGTTGAGGCGAACGGCCCAGGCTCTCTGTCTAGGCGGCCGAATCATTTCTTTCGAGAGCTCACACTTCTCCAAAGGGTTTGAGAAGATTTTCTCAGCAGTTTACTGATCTAAACATTTTAGGTCAAAATTTGGTTCAAATACATTCATTTTGTTAAAAATAGGCTCCTGAGACTATGGTCTGCCCCGTCTTTCCTAAGGACTCTAGAGAAAAGGTTTTTTTCTTATTTACCGGAGGCAAATTTTCCTTCTAACTGTTAGAGGGGGAAAAAATTCTGGTCTGGTTGTCATTGATGCGGGCCACTGGACCCCGGTGCCAGTTGTTGGCCGGCTGGTCCTCCGTGGCCCGCAGCCAGGACACACTCACCTAGCATGCTTTCGGCTGCTTTTCTTTCCGCGTCTTGAGATGGGAAGCAGAAAGCGACGCGGGAGGCGGGTCGGGTCTCCGGATCCAGCGAATTCGACATCTACTTGCTTTTGGTACCGATCCAGGTCGGGGTCTCAGGAAAGTCCGATATTTCCTGCCCTTCTGGCCCAGGGTAGGGAGGCTCCGTCTGCGCTCTACAGCCCGGTCTGAAAGCCTAATGTGCTGCGTTCCCGCCTCCCGGTCTGCGCTCGGGAAAGGTTTTTCACCCGGTAGCCCTGGACCCTCTCCATCTGGCGTTTTCATTTTAGGACACTGATCTTTCCAGCTCAGGACCTTCCTGAGGGGAAGTAGCCCACAAGAACACCCCGAAGGCTTGGGTATGGAATTTCAGAGACAGCAACCGGGGAGAACTCTTGGTTGAGTTCGAAGATGGGATCGGGCGACCTATGCCTAGTTCCAGGGGAGTCTGTCCTGGGTTCCAGGAGCACACAGCCTGCTTTCAGGCCTGTCTTGGTCGGGTGAATTAGTAAGACCAGCATCGGTCCGAGGCGCCGTCCAAGCCTCGCCGCACCGAACCAACCAGTTCAGGGCGCCGTTGCGCACTGTGGCCACTTGGGGTCGCACTTTATGCCTGTTTGAACCTCCGTGCAGCCTTCAGAAGCTTGGATCTGCTTAATCCTTACAAAACGTTCAGACAAAAACAGGGCCGGTTCCTGAACCAGCAGCTCAGAGCAACTCGGTGCACCGACCAGTGTCGGTCTCGGCTCCGAGCCTCGCAGTTCTCAGGTTTCCATATGACTGGCCAGTGAAAGGTATTCAGAGCCTTTGGGCAGACTCTTTCTTGTTTACCTTCTTTAGGAACATTTTGGGGGTGGGGTGGGGGTTAATGAACTGAACGGCGAGACCACTGGAGCTCTGTCTGTCTCAGAGCGCAGTCACCGAACCCGCCAGGAGAGGAACGGCGCCTCTTGTCCAGAGGAACCTTCCTAGAGGTTAAGAGTTAGGTCTGAACAGAACTCTTGGAGCCCCAGCCCCGCCCTCCCCCACCACATACATTTGCGCAGACCGCCAGAAACACAGGCTCGCACGACACACATTCACTCGGCCCGCGGCGCCGAGGACATAAGGAGCGTCGCCCACTGGGCGGGGGCCGCTTGGGAACAAAGGGCCGGGGAAGCGTCATCCCGGCGCTTATTCTGAGCCTACTTGAGGGTGACACGGGCCGAGGTGGGAGTGCAAAGAGTATCTAGGGAGGTGTGAGTGCAGGCAGGGCGGGTGGGAACAGCGGCTTGGTCCAGAAGTGGGGCGCGCACGGAAGGCGAGTGTGCGGGGACCTCAACTCAGAGGGGGTTGGGGGTTGGGCCCAGGCCGGCCGTCCCACTCGGCTCCAGCCCTCCTCCGGGCCTCAGCGGCTTCGGGGATCCTCCGGCCTCCAGTCAGCTGACGCGGGGGGCGGGGGAGCTGTCAGGCACGCCCCGCCCATCGTCGCTGGGCCGCGGGGGCCGTGCAGCCATTGGCCAACACGCCGGGCCGCTCGGGCCCCCGCGCTCCAGTGACATCAGGAAGCGATAAAAGGCGGCGGCGGCGCCAGCTCCTGCACAGCTGCACCGCCGTGCTGCGAGCGGCTGCAAGCAAGAAAGCCCTAGAGCCAAAGAGCCGGAGAGCGAGCGGCGGGCGCTTTGCCCCGCGCCTCCCCTCTGCCCCAACGCGCACCTCGCCTGCTTCTCCACCCCGCCCCAGCTCGACCCGACTCGGTCCCGGCGCGGCCGCAGCCCCGAGCTCCGGGGCAGCTCAGGCAGCCTCGGGAGGACTCTCCGGCGCGCCGCCGCGTCCCCAGACAAAGGCTTGGCCGGCGGCCCCGGCCCGCAGCGCCCTCGGCTCCCCGCCTCCCCGGCTTGCCGCTCTTCGCCCCCGCGTTTGGCTCGGCGCGTCCCGGCCGGCCGCAAAGTTTCCCCCGCGGCAGCGGCGGCTGAGCCTCGCTTTAGCGATGGCCGCGGAGCTGAGCATGGGGCCAGAGCTGCCCACCAGCCCGCTGGCCATGGAGTACGTCAACGACTTCGACCTTCTCAAGTTCGACGTGAAGAAGGAGCCGCTGGGGCGTGCGGAGCGTCCCGGCCGGCCCTGCACACGCCTGCAGCCGGCTGGCTCGGTGTCGTCCACCCCGCTCAGCACACCGTGCAGCTCGGTGCCTTCTTCCCCCAGCTTCAGTCCGACTGAACAGAAGACTCATCTCGAGGACCTGTACTGGATGGCGAGCAACTACCAGCAGATGAACCCCGAGGCGCTCAACCTGACACCCGAGGACGCCGTGGAGGCGCTCATCGGTTCGCACCCAGTGCCACAGCCGCTGCAGAGCTTCGACGGCTTCCGTAGTGCGCACCACCACCACCACCACCACCACCCTCACCCTCACCACGGGTACCCAGGAGCCGGTGTGGCTCACGATGAGCTGGGCCCGCACGCTCACCCGCACCATCACCACCATCACCAAGCGTCGCCGCCGCCGTCCAGCGCTGCCAGTCCGGCGCAACAGCTGCCCACCAGCCACCCCGGGCCGGGACCGCACGCAGCGGCCGCAGCGACGGCTGCAGGTGGCAACGGGAGCGTGGAGGACCGCTTCTCAGACGACCAGCTGGTGTCCATGTCCGTGCGTGAGCTGAACCGCCACCTGCGGGGCTTCACCAAGGACGAGGTGATCCGCCTGAAGCAGAAGCGGCGGACCCTGAAGAACCGGGGCTACGCCCAGTCGTGCAGGTATAAACGCGTCCAGCAGAAACATCACCTGGAGAACGAAAAGACGCAGCTCATTCAGCAGGTGGAGCAGCTTAAGCAGGAGGTGTCCCGGCTGGCCCGAGAGAGAGACGCCTACAAGGTCAAGTGCGAGAAACTCGCCAACTCCGGCTTCAGGGAGGCGGGCTCCACCAGCGACAGCCCCTCCTCTCCCGAGTTCTTTCTGTGAGTCGTGGCGGGTCCCGGCCCCCGCCCTTACCCTGGCCCAGACTCCCTGTCCTGTGTCCCTAACCCTGGACTCCCTGTCCCTGCCATGGCCCCGGCCTTGACCTGTTTGACTCGAGAGAGAGGGAGAGAAAGAGGGAGGAAGGACGCGCGGGCCGCGGGCGACGGGCGGGAGCGCGGGTGGGTAGGGAACCTTGGCTCAGAAGAGAGCGGCGCAGGCCAGCGCAGCCTGCTAGACTTGGGCAGAGTCAGAGAGACCCGGGCGGGTGGGAGGTCCCGGAGTTAACTTTTCTCCAGTCTGGAAGGCAGCGAGGCATTTTCCAAGGAGTCGCCAAGGCCGTCTGGACACTTATGGCTCTGGGAACTTTGTGAGTGCCAGGGCGGCCGATTCGCAGTCCAGAGCTCAGTTCGCCCCAGGAAGAGCAGAGGAGGGGAGCGGAGAGGAGAGGGACTCTGGAGTCCCCGAGGGCGAGAGGCAAGGCTGAGCTAAGGAAGGAAGAACAGACAGATCTGTCTGTCCAGAGTCCGGAGAACACTGGCTCTCAGCCGGAGACGCGGGCCTTAGGACATTCGGCGCGCAAGGAAAAAAAAAAAAATCTCATCAGTTTTATTGCCTGCTCGATTATATAGAAAAATACGAAAATCTGCATTAAAAATATTAATCCTGCATGCTGGACATGTATGGTAATAATTTCTATTTTGTACCATTTTCTTGTTTAACTTTAGCATGTTGTTGATCATGGATCATAACTCCCTTGTTTCTTTGAGTGAGAAGGGATGCAGTTCCAAAACTCCTGCAGCTGCGAGAGAGCGGAGTTTCAGTCGCCGGCCGGCTTGTAAATTACCCGCCCGGCCAAACCACACTGAGAACGTAGCAGCAAGCTGAGTCTTTGTTTGGGTTCATTATTATGGCATTTTGTTTGTAAGTGAAAATAAAAGAAAGATAGAAAAACAGCCAACTCTGTCCTGGGGAACCTTTGGAATTTGTCCCCTTTTCCTTCCCACTTTAGTTTTCTGTTTCGTTGGAGTTGAGGGAAAGATTGGAAGGGAGAGACAACTGTGGACGTCCACACCTTGGGTGCAGGAGCGTGTCCTCTACCCTGTCTTCTGGCCAAATTGCCCCCCCCCCAACCCCCAAGAAGAACAGAAAAGAGACCCGCTCCTCGGCTTTGCATCCTGAGGAGTCAACCCAGGGCTGGCTTGGAATCCTCCAGGAAGGCGCTAATTGCAAGTCCCCTCCCCGAGAGCTTAGGGTGAAAGGATTCCCCCCCACCTCTTGCTACTTGTCGATGAAGACTTGCGCTCTCATCGAACCAAATGCCATTCTCAGAATGTACCAGAAACCCACACATTGGCAAGCAATGTTGCAACTTTCAAGTGCGTTCTTCAGACCGATGCATTCTGTGTCTCCCTGCTGTCGGGATAGCAGGGAGAGTTTCTGGTGGTGTCCCACTCCCTTCGGTTGTACAGTAGTTATAGGGGAGGCCTGGGTGTTTTTCTTTATTGTTACTTTCATTTCTGCGGGTCAGTAAAAGGATTTAAGTTGCACTGACACAAATACCAAAATGAAAGCGTACTTTTTAAAGTTCCCATCTGAATTTGCTGGCGCTGCTGGCTGGATGCTTTTTTTGTTTGTTTGTTTTTGAGTTTGTATTAGTTGATAAATTTACAGTAATAACAAGATTGTATGAACCGCATGGTGCTTGCAGTTTTAAATATTGTGGATATTCGTCCTGCATCGGAAACGAGCTTTGGTTTTTACTGATTCAACTGTGTTGAAATCAAACTTGCAGCAACGCAACAGAAATTGTTTTTAATTTCATGTAAAATAAGGGATCAATTTCAACCCCTGCTTATGATATGAAAATATTAAAATCTAGTCTTATTGTAGTTTTAATTCAGACTGGTTTCTGTTTTTTGATTATTAAAATGGTTTCCTATTTTGCTTATTAAAACCATGGAAATGGTGTTTATTTAGAGGACTCTGTGTTTGCATGACTTTCACTCTCTCATTTCTTCAAAAATTTCTCTTGTATATCAAGTTTGGGGCATTTTCCGGCAATGGACCTCAAACCACGGGCGGGCAGCTCATCCTTTCCAGTGTGTGGCTGAGTGTGCTGTATACGAGCCTCAAATGTGTTTTCTGCTTTCCACCCAGGTTCAGACCCCAGCCGAGAGAGTCCGTCTGTATGCTGAGAGGGGACATATGTGAAAGAGACACTCGACAGTGCTTTCAGGCTTGGTGGTCAGGATCAGGAGTGGGCTGCTAGCCGGCCTGTGGCTGGGGTAGTGAATCACAGGAGCCTGGAAGCCAAGCGTTGCCACCTGGATAGAGGAAGCCAAGTCTTTTTTTTTTTGGAGTCCAGGGCCAGTTAAACTGCAACTCTTGCTTTCCTGCCTGAGTGTTTAGGTCTCAACTTCCTTTAGCCAGGCACGGGGCAGCTTAGAACTAGACAGCCAGCTCTGAACTGAGGCTTGCCCTCCTTTCCCCAAGGTTGACCACGCAGGTGACACCTGACACTAGATCTTGGGATGCAGGACCCTCTTGGTAGGAAGCCCCTCCTTGGGTTCTTCTTCCCCGGTTAGTATGTTCAGGGTGCACAGGGTCATCAGCTCTCGAAAAATGGCACAGTGTAGAGGAGCTTGGCTGTCAGTGTCTCCTCAAACTGGAGGATGGAAGGGTTTAGGTGACTCCGTGTAGCAGCTCTAGCAGTAGCCTGAAGATTCCTGACATGGCAGTGGCCCTAGACCTCTTCCCTGTCCCTGGTCCTTTGCAGGTCAGTACCTACCTTGTGGCCCACATGTTCCTGGCAGCCTCCATGGAATCCTGTCTGTGATTTAGACTGTCTTTAGACTAACCTCTCTCTGGCATTGGAGCAGAACACCCAGACCTTAGAGGAGGTCTGCCTTTTGGTGTGGCTAGATCTCTGTGGAACTTCCAGCTTCCAGAGTAGACTCTACTCTGCATTGAAATTCTTGGTGCTGGAGTTCCTAACGTGGAATTTCAGGATCCAGATGGGGAGGTTATAGGCTCAAGCAGGGAGACCTGAGTAGGGAGCAGCCTGGAAAAGAAGAGGGGAGTGAAACACAGAGGGAACAAACAGATTTTGGCCAGGATCCCTGGAGATTGGGCTCTTGGCATCTGAGGACGAAGTTTGGGGGACCTTAAAATACAAAAACAACCAAATGACAACAACAACAACAACAACAAACCAGAGCAAAATAACAGTAACCACGATACACACCTATAGTGCATTGGTGGGTGATTTCAGCTTGAAGTGATTTCCCAAACCCATTCCGTTTTCCCAGTGGAAACACAGTTTGGCAAGGAAGGCTTTGGCCTCCATTTGGGAAAAGGCAGCAGAGCCCATTTCTCCCACGTAGGAGGGTGTGATCTATCTGCAATTTCATATGCAAGTGCCACTACAGGTACAGATTTGTCACCTTTAGGGAAACAGGCCTCTGTTAGAGTTAGGGGAGTATCTGAAGAGACTCCGCTGTGCAGGTAGGTCCCTGCAGTGGTAAAAGGAGATCGGGGACTTCTGGTGGCAGAGGCCTTAAATCTGGTCTGATTCTGTCTAGAATCATTCTAAACAGACTAGCGTAGTCCACTTCAGGCATTGCCTGGATTTTAGGAAAGGTTGTAAATTCCAAAGAATTGTCTTTATTCTGCATACAGAGACCCTTAGACACACCCAGTGAGGTCCCTATCACTGTGCATCCAAAAAAGGACAAGGAGTGCCACCCGTTTAGAGTGACCAACTGTGTTTGGCGATGAGTTTCAAGGCATAGCCCTAGTGACACGTTGACGCACCAAGACACGGGGACCCACACCCTGCACTCACACTGGTGACCATGCTGCTTCCAAGTCACCCATTGAATACTAACTCGCCCCAGGCCACAAACGGGGACAAGCTGGGTAGAGTCAGCAGCTCTTTGGAGAACCAGGGCTTGTGAAGTCTCCAGAGAGTGGAGGGCTCTTGAGCGCGGGTTCCTACAGCAGGCAAGTCCTCTACTAGCAGCTGGCCATGCGGACCGGCCAGGATGCCACAAGCCGGGGGAAATGGGAACTGGATACCCAAGACCTCCACGGTGCCCCGGCGGTACTCAGCAACCTTTATCCTTCTTTTCGGTTTCCATTTCTCCCTACTGTTAGACGGCAGCTCGGGATCCTCCACTCCCCACCACCCCTGGAAAGTCCTCCCTGCACCAAAATCTTCCAGGCTTCCACTGATCCCCGTAGACAAGTTGGTGCCTGCAGACGACAGAGACGCACCCGGAGACTGAAACGCATAGACACCAACACCGGGAAGCACTCTGTGGCCACTCTGTAGGCTCTGAGAATTGGGCTCTATCTTGGGTCGCCTTCTTTGCTGGGGCGAACGCGGCCCTACAACTGGCTGGGCGCAGTCGGGTTTCTGCGTCCCGGATCTCACCAGCTTGAAGAACCTGGGGCAGCCGCCGCTGTCACGTCCTTCAGTTCGGCGAGAAGGCGCTCAGGTGCCTGAGGTTCAAGCAAATCGGCTACCTTCTCTACGTCTCTGTTTCTCTGCGTGTGTGTCTCAGTCTCCCCACTCCTCTCTCTTCCCCTCTCCCCTTTCTTTCTGTCCCTCTAACCCTCCTCCCCACCCCGTCCTCATTTTCCATTTCTTTAGCCTTTCTTTCCTAATCTTCTCTTTTGTTTACTCCCCTGCCTTTTATTCCAGGGCAGCCTGAAAGGCTACCCAGAGCTGGTCCTGCAGCGGTCCTAGCCAGGCGGGAGGAATGAGGGATGGAGAGGCGGGTCTGCAGTCTGGGAGTCACCACATAGTGTTCTGCACCTGCGCTGTTTAGGGTCTGGACTTCACTCTGCCCACCCTCCAGTTTCATTCCATCCAGTGTCCCTCGCTGTGGTTGGCTGGGGCCTTCAGGCTGCCACACAGTTGGCCTGCGGCTGTTCAAATCTCGGTGAAAGTGATCTCTGGGGAGGCTGAAGCTGGTTACAGATACAGTCACTGTCTCTGGGCATTTCTGTGGCAGGACAGCCCCCTTGCCCCTGCCAGTTTAGAGGTTCCCATTTCCTTCTTATGCTGTTCAGGGGCCTCTGCACCAAATATCACAGTGGAAGCTGTCAAGAGCACACCACGCACGACGGTAGGCTGACCACACTGTGACCTGGAGGCTCAGTTTCTGCCAGGGGGCCAAAGGCCTACTCAGGCACCCTCCCACTCCACCAGTCTTCAGTTCATCCTTGGTATGGAGGGAGCCAGGAAACGCTGGATTAGAGTTTGGAGATTCTCTTGCATGCTTTCAGATGCAAAACTCCATTGTCTTCTGGGCCCTTTGATTTCCCCAAAGGAAGACTCTGAACCAGGGTTTTGAATAACTGTTACCATCACCATCTATCTGCACTCTGAAGGCTGGGCCCCTCAGCACAGAGATAGTGGTTCTGGGGTTCAGATTTATAATGCAAGGAACTCTTCTCCCCTGACCAAAATAAAATTCTGCCATCGCACATTCCTGTAGGCAGCATTTGTCCAGCCCCTCGGAGAGAGTCAGTTCAACGGGACTAGCTCCTTTGAGCTGCTGCCCAGCATAGCATCCTGGGAAGACAGTCCTGATGGAGTGCAGGGATGGTCCTGTGGCTTGGGTGGGTTGAGTGTCACCCGTATGTCAGGAGCAGGCACCTCAGGGCTTGCCTTTGAAGGCTTCTCTGGTTTAGAAGATAGGGTCTTTCTTTTGTGAGAAGGCTGCTAGTGGAATTTCTTCTTTCCCACAGTTCCTGGCCAGTAAGCGCTTCTTTCAGTGGGGAGAGTATATATTTATCAAGACACCACCCCATCAGTTCCTCAGCATCCTATGTAGCCCCTCCTACCCATCTGAACTCCTTCATTTGTCCTGTACAAATTTCCATGCCTCCCATTTTTAAATTCCTTTTTCCATTGTCCCACACATGTTATCTTAACTGGTACATTTAGATAATATCAGAGCTAACTGTTCTCACTTGGAAGAAATTAAATATGTGAGAAAACTCTCGGCTCCAACACAAAAAATCACCTAAATTAATAATAAGGATTTGTTCCGGAGCAGAATTCAGTTGCAGCAGCCTCTTGGCGTTCTTTGTGAGTGAAGCTACTTTTAAGTAAAACGGCAGCTATTCATTACATATTCTGTTTTATTTTATTTTTTATATAAAAAAATGGATGCTGTCTTTGGGTTGGAAGGGGCATCTGTAGAGGTGGTGGGGGGAGGCCTGGAACTTTCTGGAGGAAGCAATCTATTTTTTTTACACGAGACAGCCGATAAAGTCCTCACATCTGTATTGTGGTGCTTTCATTTTGGAGCTCTATGCATTTTACCTGGGTTGAGACTTCCTCCCGTGAATGGATAGGGATGGGTACTTGAGGGGGCCTGTTTGAATAATCCTCTTGAGGGGTGGGCATTGTTCCTGGCTTTATGGTTCCATCAGGTCCTGCAGCCCAGGCTGTGCATGGCTCTCACTCAGGTTCCCTTGTCTCTTCTGGTCTGTCACCCTCACTCCCTTGACTCTGCCAGTTATAGTTCTGCCATTGAGTTCTACCCAGAAGGGGCATGGGAGCACCACGCTGCCTTGGAGTCAGCTCCACCTGCTCAGAGTGAGTGGAGCAAGGCTGTATTTCTCAACATGGGGTGGGCCCTCCTCCTGCCTTCCTTCGAACCTGGTACACGGGTTCCTTTCAATGGATGCAGGACAGGTAGGTCACAGAGATGTGATCCAACCATTGGTTTCATCTCTGGGCAATTCACTTAACTTTGTAGTATAAGCTGCTGTTATTTAAGGGCTAGAGGTGGAGGGGACAAGGTCCTGTAGTCATTTCTTGCTTAGAGTCACCAGGGGTGAGTCTAGAACAGAAATCCATACCTACCTAGTGATGAAATTTATTTTTTTTTTATCATCAAACCTTATAAGTTCTTATATAAATTCTTCATCAAAGACATTCAATGCCGTATAGGTGAGGGAGTC